GTTTTAAAATTCTTTGGTCACATCTCCAGAAAAGAGCACTCGATGGAGAGACTGATAGTCCAGGGCCGGGTGGTAGGCAGAAGATCACGCGGCTCACCGACCCGCTGGACTGACCTAATAAAGAAGGCAACTGAGTCCACTATGGTCGAATGTACTCGTAACGCTTCGAACCGCCAGACCTGGAAGCGCATTGCCTGGAGGGCGGTTGTCGGGAGCATGGGCGACCTAACAGGTCCTACTGCACATACAGCGTCAACGCAACCACGACCACTCTGACAAGAGTGTCCGACTGAGAAGAAGAGTAATAAAAAACCTCGTAATGCTCACTAGAGGTCCCGCAGTAGTCGAAATTAGACTATAATTAATTGGAATTGTAAGTTTGTACACTATTATGATTGTATTTTATACTTCTATAATCACAAATTTCGCCAAGACTACACTATAAAAAATATTAACAAAGACAAACCATATTCTATTCTTAACTTGACAACAGACGTCAAAAACAAAAGTTTGACAATAAATAGTATGCATGCGTGTGTGCGTCAAATACATGATAGATAGTGTGTGTAATGTTTTCTTTATTGATTTACTGTATCTTTTATGCATTATTTTAAAAAAATATTAGCATTGTGCACTTCTTCTCTATATTCTCAAATGAAAATACACTAATAACTTTAACACATTTAACCTTCACAAAACGTGTTTGTCAAACCGTAATCCAAATATAGTTTCCCGCGTTCGCACATTAATTCTAATTCGAGCGCGCATTTACAAAACGCAATGAAAACAAAACGACGTTTTCTCTAACCTTCCGGAGCGCGAAACGGTATGAGCGGACATCAGAAACGACTGAATGTTATGTAAATCGTGTGAAATCACTGTGAATGATTGCTCCATATAATCAAATGAACGTGAGTATGACGGTCGCGAATTAAACTTGAATTGACGCGCAGTTTTTCTTGTTTCCATCGACGCAAGAAAAAACAACACACGCCACATGATCATGAAGTCGTCGTGGCCTAACGGATAAGACGTCCGGTGAATTCGTGTTGAGCGATGCACCGGTGTTCGAATCTCAGGCGGGTACCAATTTTTCTAATGAAATACGTTCTCAACAAATGTTCACGATTGATTTCCGCGGTGAAGGAATAACATCGTGTAATAAAAATCAAAACCCGCAAAAATTATAATTTGCGTAATTACTGGTGGTAGGATCTCTTGTGAGTCCGCGCGGGTGGGTACCACCACCCTGCCTATTTCTGCCGTGAAGCAGTAATGCGTTTCGGTTTGAAGGGTGGGGCAGCCGTTGTAACTTACTTGAGACCTTAGAACTTATATCTCAAGCTGGGTGGCGCATTTACGCTGTGGATGTCTATGGGCTCCAGTAACCACTTAACACCAGGTGGGCTGGGAGCTCGTCCACACATCTAAGCAATAAAAAAAAAACAAAAAAAATGATCAACAGTTACAAAATAAAAAAAAGATGTGTGGTGTCGTGGGACACCGGATAGGAACGAAATTGTTAGAAAAATATTAATTTTAAGTTCTATTCGAGGTATAAAGAAAATAAAACTGGAGGTTTCGCAACAACCCACAGTCATTCGATAACGTGCGAACTTATTGTGGTTCATTTCATTCACGGTTATTTGCATAAGAGTTAGTGTATTGCGCAAACGAACGCTCTGAGATCGTGGTCAATGAATGATAAAAAATATGTTATTTTTTGTACTTTACTCCAAAGTTAAGTCGTACACTGTGTGCATTACTAATAAAAATCTTACGTTACGGACGTTTTTTCCCGGTTAGGATACCCCTCCGCATCGTCCCGTAAGGAACTTCGTTCCAAAAGAAACGAATAAATAATAAAGTGTTTTAACGAACTGCCAGAGAGAGAACCATGAACCGGCCAAATCAAGTCCGCAGTGGGATGTCGCTAATGAGAACAGTATGCCCTCAAACCGGAAGAGATGGGGGGCGCATCAAATGAAAATGAAAGTAAAAGTAGTTTCTGGTTATGGACTGCTTCCGAGAGCTGGAATTCCAGGCAGTAAGATTGAACTCTTCTCTAGCGAGAACCGTCTAGTTAAAAGTTCGTTCAGACTGTAAATTTAGAAGTAACAGCAAAGAGAAGATCTTCTAGGGGATGATATTGCGCAGTATAACAACGATCCAAATGTTATTGTTTGGAACTTGTTTATATGCAAGAATGAAAATGTCTTACCGAGATTTAGGAATCCCCCTAATATCTTGTCTTCTATTTACATAGCCCACAGAAAGAACTTAGAAGATCGGCACACGCATTATTTTTTTGAATTTGAATAGATGTACTGTAAAGTAAGAATTGGTAACACAGTGCAACTTCATTGTATAAACTGGATTAGGCAGAGTAAAAAAAAAGGTATCTTAATGTATCAACCTAAAGATTTAGTTTAGGTCGTCGCAGTTTTTGTTTTTGTTTGGTGGATGAATGGAAACCTTCACGTCCGCTTGGTGTTTAGTGTTTACTAGAGTCGATAGACATATTGCCATGTACGTGGCCGTCGGGAACTACATAGCCGATCCTGTGGACCAAACGGTAAACAGTCGACGTCGCCCAAAACACGTCATTTTGGATCCTCCCGATCCACTAACGGTGATTTTAGGTACCTCAAACACAATTCATCGTTCTCGTCGAACCCGTCGCTTGCGACGAAGGGCTCGGCGAGTAAATTAACTAACAGGCACAGCCCACTGAGTTTCTCGTCGGATCTTCTGAGTGGGTCGCATTTCCGATCCGGTGGTAGATTCTACGAAGCAGGGCTCTTGCTAGGGTTCGTGTTAGCAACGTCATCAGGTTTGAGCCCTGTGAGCTCACCTACTAGCTCGGCGAATCTAGATTAACCCCTCGAGGTTGCTAGAATAGGTAAAAAAAAAGAGTCATGTACTAATAAGACATGATATCAAACTATCAATTGTATGCCACAAGGGGTTTCCCATCCGGTAATAAAATCCGTATTCATAATATTATTTTTACTTATTTTGCGTATAATAAAACAATTTCTAAATTAGACATAGAAAATAAATTTTATAAACTATAGATAATATTTAATTGCATCAGTCCGTAGTTTTAGTAGACGCACTGGCGAGACTTTTTGGCGCTCAGCTCAGTTATATTGGAAAACTATCTGTGTGAACATGTAACAAAGAACTAAGGGATGTACCATTAGGCTTGGCATGCGTACCGGCGACGACATTGGTATTTCCTTCTTTCATGTATCTTTTACAGTTCTTTGAAATAACCATTAGCGTATTATGTTAATTTCCAAACGTATTTATGGGCACAAACACCACTATTGACAATAATTAGTTTATAGTTTAGTTTATTCTATGTTATTGTTTATTTATTAATATCAAGATGAAACTGCTATTCTACCATATTTAATAATTAGCAGACACTGTTTTGATGTGAAAATGTTCAGAATATGTTTAATGTTAATATTATTGTTTAAAAACACAAATGACTGTATAAATAATTAAATATTAATAAAGCATAAATATTAATAATAATTTATATTATAGTTAACAGTAATAATTTAATTAAGTATTGTAATTGCTATGCAATGATGTTGTTGGCGCCTTCTATTATTAGCCTTGATAATAACAATGTTAGTTAAAAGTAATGTATGTAAAATAAATTAATGTCAGAATATGTATTGTGAATATTAAGCCATATTTTGTGAATTGTTTCGCAGTAATTACATTTGTTTGTATAAATGATGTTGTAGTTGCTATAACCATCACAAGATGTCTAATTGTGTAAGAACTAAGACGTGGCTTTTTGTAATGAACAATAGTAATGTTAAAATTTATGTAAATTGTATTGTATTTTTTTTTAATTTTTTTTATTGCTTCGATGTGTGGACGAGCTCACAGCCCACCTGGTGTTAAGTGGTTACTGGAGCCCATAGACATCTACAGTGTAAATGCGCCACCCACCTTGAGATATAAGTTCTAAGGTCTCAGTATAGTTACAACGGCTACCCCACCCTTCAAACCGAAACGCATTGCTGCTTCACGGCAGAAATAGGCAGGGCGGTGGTACCTACCCGTGCGGACTCACAATAGGCCCTACCACCAGTGATTACGCAAATTATAATTTTGCGGGTTGATTTTTATTACACGATGTTATTCCTTCACCGTGGAAATCAATCGTGAGCATTTGTTAAGTACGTATTTCATTCGAAAAATTGGTACCCGCCTGCGGGATTCGAACACCGGTGCATCGCAACAACGAATGCGCCGGAAGTCTTATCCTTTAGGCCACGACGACTAAATTTTCATTGTATTAGACCTTATGTGTGAAAACCCTGGCGTAGCGCCGACATATTTATTAAGCAGAATTTCTATTGTAGCGAAAGAAATTACTCTCCTGTTAAATGGAATGATTGAAAGGCGTTTCTCGAAGTAGTCTTTTTGTTTCAGTTTTGTCTTTCTCAAAAAAATATGTCCAAGACGTTTAAAGAGTAATGAAATCAGCCATGCCGTTCTAGTGATGCGCTTAGCAACGAAATAGAATTTTAATATTCGTTTAAATAGATAACTAGTGACACGTCCCGGCTTCGCACAGGTTAATCCAAATATATCCTACACATAGTGCATTTTTTCCTAAGCTTCGTATTAAAAGCTTTTACGGCCCGCCTCCTGTTAAGTGACTCCTGTAAACGCCGCCACCAATCTTGAGAGAAGAGTTTGAAATCTCAGTTTTATAGTAGGTACAACCCTGCTGCCCTGCAAGCCAAAAAGCATTACTACTTCACGGCAGAAATAGGAAGGGTGATGATACTCACTCCTAAGGGTTCATTACAATTTTTAATATTAAATATATTCAACGGTGATTTCTTGTTCTTAGTTGTTTTTTGGTGTGCAGTAAAGTATATTCTCTCTCTCTTTCTTTCTCTTTCTCCCTCTCCCCCCCCCCTCTCAAATCTAAGGGTATGTAAGTAATTAGAAAGCGTTCTTACTCTATCAGCAACTCCACCAGGGAGGACGCTCTTGACCACCACTCCCGAGGACCGTCCCCCCACGATGCCGAACGCCAAACCGGATCCATCGTTGACTAGTTCCACCACTTCAACTTGAGCCCATTCGCCGAATACCTGCTGTAATACAATAACCTTGAAACTGTGACATAAAATATTTGACTTCTCCAATTTTATTTGTTTAATAAGTCGTATTGTTTACTGGCAGGAACTGGATGAGAGAAGCCGAGGATCGTGCTCAGTGGCGAACAATTGGAGAGGCCCATGTCCAGCAGTGGACTGCTATAGGCTGATGATGATGATTGCCGATGTTCACGGTCGATGCTGTCTATTTCCTGTCATTGGCGTGCCAGGATATAAGGCACTACTTTTGCTTAGATTCAGTCTAAATTTATTAACGAACCTCTATAGCCAACACCGGAGAATAAAATTAAAACGGAAATAGTTTTTATTTAATACAATCACTCACCATGATGCGCTTTATTCGCTTTTTACTGCGAAATTTGCGCGGGCGTATCTCCAATCAGCTGACCTTCTCCGCCATGTTTGATTCTCACTGACAGCTGTCACGGAAACACCCGAGAACTTCAGAGGAGGTCGCGAAAGAAGATCCAATCGTTACGTCACTCATTCTTTTATTGGTCTTTAATTTAAAAGCACTAGATCTTTCGATGAATTAACTTCGTTGTATTGTTTTCTGGAACAAAGAGAGAGGAGAAAATTTACACAAGTAAAGCAATTAGTAGAGGAATCAATCTTAATATTATGAGTGATTTTTTCATTACTTTTTATTTATTTCCAACGAGGATGCTCATAACTAAAACTAAATATAGCTTATGGATTATGGGCCCTGCCACAGAATTTAGGGGACTCTTTTCAAACCTCCTTTAAAGACGAATGTGAATCGCATTTCGTGGGTATCGCGAACCTATTCATTTTAATTCGGCTTGCGAGCTTACGGGGAATGAGGCCGAACCTCATGAGAGATTCCGCGACTAGGGCGCGCGTGGTATGTGGGATTTAACGGTGTGCAGATGTTGAGAGCAGACCGCAGGCCCAAGAATGTTTTAGGGCCCTACTCACCAAACGACTCCCTTTACACTCTCTTACCCGACCAATCTCCGCCCGCCTGGGAGGCTTTACTAATATCTGCCCTAAATAGAGCAGTAAGTACTACGCTGATATACTATACTACCTGGTATACTACCACCGGCTCGGAATCCCGACTCACTGAGAAACTCAATGAACTGCCCCCATTTCAATCGTTAAACAACAAAATTTATACTTAAACCTCAGTTTTTAAAATGTGTGGCCGGATTCATATCGGTGACCAGTAAACAGTAAGTTATTTAACCTAACGCAAAGGTTATCGGTCGGTTATTTGTGTATAAACGATTAATTAATCAATTTATCATTCCACAGACTCGATCCTTGACCGGTCCTGCGATGGTTTTATCCAGGGTATCATCTCAGCCTTACAGTGGTAAGGCCACCAACACTACGTCTATCGGTACTCAATCGCAACTCGAGAAATTTAATGCTCCAGTAGCGATTCTTCTAATCATGTCCCCTGCCCACTGACACTTCAGCATCGCAATCCCATAGGGGCATATCGGTTACCATGAATAAGTCGGACTATACCGATTTTATTGAACAATTATCATCACTACATAGTATAAAACAAAGTCGCTTCCTCTGTCCCTATATCCCTATGTATGCTTAAATCTTTAAAACTACGCAACGGATTATGATGCGGTTTTTTTAATAGATAGAGCGATTGAAGAGGAAGGTTTATATGAATAATAACATCCATTAAATAATGGAGAAATCAATAATAAATTACAGTTTCCGAAGCGAAGCGAGGGCGGGTCGCTAGTAATCTATATATTAATACGTGAAGCAAAAACTTTGTACCCCTTTTTGCGAAAATTGCGCGGACGGAGATGTATGAAATTTCCCACACTTATAGAGAATATAGAGAAGGAGTATTTAATATATTTTGTACACACAGCTGTTAAAAGAAACACGACAATAAGGATACAGAGTACAAGGGCACTACTTATTTCATGTTGAAATCTCTCCCAGTAGGCCCGCAGAAGGAAAGAAAAATTAGGAACACAAATAACCGTTGTAACTATACTGAGACCTTAGAACTCTTATCTCAAGATGGGTGGCGGCATTTACGTTGTAGATGTCTATGGGCTCCGGTAACCACTTTACACAAGGTGGGCCGTGAACTCGTCCACTCATATAAGCAATAAAAAAAAATTTCAATGTTGTTTTCTTATTATATCACAGAAAACACAATTAAGTCCTTTATTGTTTATTCATTCTTAAATACTCCATATCAATATATACATATTATATAATAGTAGAAATCTTCACAGAGCAATCACGTGCATTAACACTGGAGTACATTAGAATTCAATGTTAAAAACGTAATTAAGTGAAGCCATGAGAACAAATGCTATAAATTCACTCAATGTCAAACGGCGGAGAAAATTGTCAGATAAGGTTTTGTGTCGTGGCCTGACGTCACCCCAGGGCTGACCGTTTCATTTTCAATAACAAGAATATTACAGCTTTATAGTGTAAATTACATGGCGTCAGCAATCACGGAATTTTATAATTGATATTGTCTATTTATTATTTATTGCCTACTAGCTGACCCGGCAGACTTCGTAGTACCTCAATCGATAAATAAAAGACCTAAACTTTTGTATAAAATAAACTTAAAACAAACAAGAGGAATCCGTCCGTGTTATTTTTATTTAATTCCGAGCATTTTCATATTTATCTAACTTTTAAACCTTCTCTGGACTTCCACAAATAATTCCAGACCAAAATTAGCCAAATCGGTCCAGCCGTTCTCGAGTTTTAGCGAGACTAACGAACAGCAATTCATTTATATATATATATAGATTATATTCCTTCAGTTATTTCTTTACTCCTACATTTCTTTATTTCTTCATTTATTTATTTACTGATGGTAAGACCTCTTGTGAGTCCGCGCGGGTAGGTACCACCACCCTGCCTATTTCTGCCGTGAAGCAGTAATGCGTTTCGGTTTGAAGGGTGGGGCAGCCATTGTAACTATACTGAGACCTTCGAACTTATATCTCAAGGTGGGTAGCGCATTTACGTCGTAGATGTCTATGGACTCCAGTAACCACTTAGCATCAGGTGGGCTGTGAGCTCGTCCACCCATATAAGCAATAAAGAAAAAAATATCAAATTTGCCGTGCAATATATGATAATAATATCATATATACTACAAGAATCATTTTATTTACGAACACCCACCATTTCACATGCATAATATTTTGGTACCAATTTTTTTTGGTATATTAAGACTGGTATAGCCATCACGACTGTCTAGCAAGAAGGTCAGGTAAATTTACAATTTAAGGTAGACTATAAAGTCTTGTAAACGACGACAGATATAATTTAATTAAAAAAATAACGACAAACCACCTTGAGCAGAGTCTGGTTTCTTTATCTCTTTCTATCACAAGCGTATGTGTTAATTTTGTTTATTAAGACGATTTTATTTGCTCGGTAGAGATGTTTGTTTTTATTTAAAGGAATCTCTGGTGACATTGATACACGAACGCAAATAAAACTCCTAGAAGAACTCCTTCTAACTCCAAGAAGCCAGATTAATTTGAAACTTTTCACTCATTTTTCACACTTTTATTGGTGGTAGGACCGCTTGTGAGTCCGCGCGGGTAGGTACCACCGCCCCGCCTATTTCTGCCGTGAAGCAATGATGCGTTTCGGTTTGAAGGGTGGGGCAGCCGTTGTAACTATACTGAGATGTTAGAACTTATATCTCAAGGTAGGTGGCGCATTTACATTGTAGATGTCCATGGGCTCCTGTAACCACTTAACATCAGGTGGGCCGTGAGCTCGTCCACCCATCTATGAAATAAAACAAATAAAAAGGTTAACTTCCGTATACGCACCCGGAAATATTTATAAGGTGAACTGAAACAAGTGTTACCAGAACAGCAATAAATTTGTACTTATAAAGTTTCGTGGCGCGCTGGCAACCCTTAATGCTGTGTGATTCTCGGCACGTACTCGCCCGGCCCCATTGCGATATCAATGCCGAATGCGACAAACAAGCTAATTTGCTAACGCCGGAGTGAATAGTAATGCATGTTAAGAAGGCAACTACTTCATTAATAGTAGGAATCCGTAAAACGTTTCAATACTGTAAATCCATTGATATTTTTCGAGATCACGAAAAAGATATCCGTTGAATTAAAAGAAAAATGGTATTTTAAACAAACGTTTAAAAAACAACGTTAAATTAAAAATAAATAATTAATTCTTTTTTTTCCAGTTTTGTTGTTTTGTTAAATATTACCTATATATTGGATTTCAGGAATTCGATTAATCATAGCTGACAAAAAAAAGATCGATTGATTCAAATTCTATACGTCTATATATAGAAATTACGCATTTTTTTTTAGATTAAAGTTTTACTACAATTTTTATTTTTATTTATTATACATTATACAATATATATTATACAAATTATAAATTATATACAAAATAGAGGAAGTCTGAAAGAAGCGCCTGTGACAGAAGCTGAGAAGTGCGCGTTTAGGATGGAATGGACATGTGATGAGACGAAATGAAAATGAGGTTGGTAAGAGAGTGTTAACTATGAATGTGGAAGGATATAGAGGAAGAGGTAGACTTAAGAAAAAATGGATGGATTGCGTGAAAGACTATATGGGTAAGAGGGGAGAGAGCGAAGAAATGGTATATGATAGAAGAGTATGGAAGGAGAAAACATGTTGCGCCGACCCCAGGTGACTGGGAGAAGAGCAGGATAATGATGATACAAATTGTATATATATTTATTATATATTATACAAACAGTTTTATTACAATATCGCATGCCTTACCCGACTGAGTAGTGAGATAGTGCATTATCCTCATGAGAAATAAAATATTCGCAACCACTCACAATGAAAACATGTGATTTGATTTTTAAGACGCCACATTGTAAATTTGAACTCGATACAGTTGGTCGAGTATTTTCACGAATATCGATGGGTGAAAGGGAAAAGGGAAAAGGCCCGGAAGTATTGTTTGAACGACATTTTTGCAGGACAGCTATTTAAAGTTTAAAATTTGAAAAAAATATCAACCATACATATAAATAAAATTAGAGTGTCTATTTATAATATTGAAATAACCGCTTTTTACTACATGCATATGAATATATATACGGTACATACAACAAAATAACATTTTTTACAATTTTTGTGTGTCTGTCTGTCAGTTTGTTCCGGCTAATCTCTGGAACGGCTGGACCGATTTTGCTGAGACTTTCATTAATAGGTAGCTGATGATATAAGGAGTAACTTAGGCTACTTTTTTTAGACTAGCTTCGCCCCGCGGCGTCACCCGCAGTTATTGTTGTACCGGGCGCAACATGGCGGAACTCGCCTATCAATAATAAAATTTAATGTTTCCGAAGCAAGGGCGGGTCACTATAATATATAAAGTTCTTCAAATAATTGGATG